ATCATCTCCTTTGCCAAGCCATAGTTCAATTATTTGGGATGCAATATTTATTAGAAATAACATAAACATTTTGCCACAACATAGCCTGAATGTCACTAATCACTATTCACTATTACTATTTCGCATTTCGCTAACAGCTCCCCTCATGGAAATTTCCGAAAATCTTGATTTTTAGGTCTAAGGTCAGCATTTGAAAGCAAGTTAAATCAGCAGTATAGAACTCATTTCAAATGGCTACTTCGAGTAGAGATTCTTCCCAGGCGAGGTTTAACTATAGAGCAAGTGAGTATTGGTTTGAGATTAATTGAAGTTCACCAGTTCATTCAGCAGGGCAGTGTAGTACACCGGACTCAAGCCAGAATCGACCAGTATGGTATCAAAGTTGATTGGGGGTAGCGGCGTACTTTGACTGTCTCAGGTGAAATTCTCGTACGATCTACCCCCAGGAGACTCGATAGAGCATGTAAAAACATTAACAAAAAAATCAACAAAGAAGGAGTAATTTATGAAGTACCGGTGGTTCATTGAAGCAACGACTGCCAACTCTTCTAACCACGAGACCCTATGTGGATCCGTCGTGGATATGAAAGAGCTCTGGACGTAACTGGGATGATCCTTTGTATAGTGTGCCAGACCTTCGTGTGAAGATGGTTTGAGACCTCCGGAATGGATGTCAGGTAGGACTTCGAGCTTCATCTCACGAAGTTCAAATGGCATAGCTCATCGGAAGATTAGAAAAGGGGATTTTTCTCATGTCCAACTGTCAGATTGGTTGGCGGCTTTCTAACGATTAAGAAAATGTTGAAAGGGACAGAGTGAATGAAAATTCTATGAAACGATTATTCTGAACGTTGAGGAATAAATCATTGCAAGCATTAGAACTAGATTAGATGGTAGCTTAGAGTGTGTAAGCTGAAATGTAAAGGAAAGCAAAACACCTATCATTCGCGGGCTTCGAAACTGCGCCCTCCGAAGAGGACTGCGACCTGAACGCAGCGTCTTAGACCACTCGGCCAGACACCCAACAACCGTTGTTCTTTATTTCAATTAACGCGTGTGCTGCCGTCCTTCTAGCGATAGGCACGTTCGGTTTATATTCACCATTTTTACTAGTTCCCACTAATGTAACTCACATGTTCGCTCCCATTCCGACATTCAGCTAGAGTATTTTCGAAAATCCGCGCAGATCTGCCAAATGTCCTTGAGATCAGAGTCAATTTGAAAATTTTTAAGAAAACTTGCTCACAACAAAACTGAGGACGCAACGTATCTAATACCGCTATTCGGTTATGCCTCTCCTGATAGAAACCGCTGAGCCCTGAGCAAGTTGATATTTCGGAAAATAAAGTTGATCATATCTTGTGTTCAAGTCAAGATGGAGACTTCTGGTTAGGAACATTCGCTTCAGCCCCTCAAATTACATCCAATAAGCTTGTTGAATGAGAACTCTGAGAGATCAAGTTTTCTGGAAATTTCCATGAGGGGTACCGTTTTCGAAGTATTTGGATTCGATTCGAATTTAGTTAATCCGGTTCTGACCGTTTAAATCGATCTCGATCAATCAATCAGATCTAAACAACTTTTATTATAAAACATTCATGGTAACATCGATAGAAATGTATTAGTTCTGTCTCGGAATAGTCGCATACGTAGATGCTTACACCGTTCCATCGAAAACACCAGTATTCAGACTATTGATCAGTCACATATGACATATAAATGTATGGTATATAACTGGTTATAAACTTATATAGATATAACAAGTTATACACAAATTAGCTTTTAAATAGAGAGATATGAAGAGAAGATAAATGGATAAATAGCAGAAGAAGAACACCTAGACGAACGATGGACCACAATGTGGCTGACGACCTTTCTAACGAACATGAATAAAGCTCTTCTCTAACGATGCACACATGAGATGATACGGCCATAAAAACCCGAAAAAGTGAACTGAATAAGGTTAACAGGGGGCTACCATTTCACCTAAATCAAGGAAGTGGCAGGAAAAAGAATGAAAAGAATGACTAGATGATGATAAGTAGTATGTCCAAGTCAGCAATGAAATGAGCGTGAAGACTGGACATGGTCAAGAGAATATGAAATTAAATCTCAATAGACGAGAGTATGGAAGACAAAGAACGAAAAGCACCACCCTGTACCGTACCGGCAGCTGCTTGGACTGGCCAAGCTAACCGTCCAATTCAAGTTGATGCCACGATTCGAACGTTTGGCCAGGATTCTCTATACAATTGCTCCACTGCTCGCCTCGTTCGTCTTAGCTGCCGTCGACAATAGTTCCATCTTCAAAAAGCACTGCTGAGATCCTACTAGAGTCAAAGTGGAGTAGTTTTTACTTACCAATATACTCATCATGTTTGCCGAGATTGTGATCGTAAACTCCGATCTCTAGGGTTTTCTTAGGCAAATCCTTGAATGGGACGACAAATGCGAGGGTCTGAAAAGAGACAAGATAAGAGGTGTCCCTTAAATGTTGCCAGCCAAAAGAATCCTCAAAATACCTCGTTGAACTCCGGATTGAGGGTCCTTTTCTTGACGGAAGTTCGCTGTCGATGGGCTTTGGAAGTAACAGGTGTAAGCGAACTGTAAAATTCGCCATGTAAACAAATCACTCAAACACAGCGCTTATGTGGCCATCAAATTTCGTCGCTTGGAAGGAATAGAACTGTGGAATCAAGATGGTTTATGGGAACAAGTTCTCTCCAGGTGAGCACCTATTTGATATCAAGAGAAGTAAACAAAATAGAAACTAGCGAGGAACAACAGGAACAGTACTGAATGCTTCTGACCCCATCATACTCGACTATTCATCCTTGGCAGGAAGTGTAGGGATAATTTATGGCAATATATGCCATGGCGAAGTCTCATACATATTTGACAAGGCTGTGCAACCGTAAAGGGTAGAACCAGAAGGACCCGCTTTGAGTAAAGCCGGTCGACTGCTGTGAACCTTACGCCCTGACCGGTCTCATCACTAGTTACTGCTATAAGATCTTTCTTCCGTTCTCATTACGGTAGTATATCGAGTAACATTCTGGGCGTTTTCCTGCTTCTTTATTTACTCTGACTCCCACATCTCAAATCCTCAAAGTAATAGCGAATTCCTTCTTTTTATAAATTAGAAAAGAGCTTGTAAAACAAACTCACACTTTGCAATAGGGATCAGAAAACCCTGTTGAATCCATTCCTATTAATTCTGCACAACGTTTAATAGTCACAAATAGTGAGCCTAAAAAATAACTACTTGAGATCTATGAATAATTAGACTTAAACTTTCTAGCGACCATGAAATTTTAGTAAATGGGTGATAACTGGGAGGCACCATCCGCAGACTTCCGCAGCGACACCAGACATCACTAGTGCCGCTGCGGAAGTTTTTTTTTTGAAAATATCAAAGCGCCAAACCCTCCCAGGTAATGCAAAGTTGTTTTTGCACAAGCAGGCATGAAGGTTGAAGCCTCACAGAAAAATTGCCTCCGCGCGCGATATTCGCGGTCACAGCGCGACGTCGCGTGGTGCTTTTTATCCCTCAACAACCAAGCCATATAACAATAATAGAGTGTTTACCTTGCTGAATATTATACTATAGCGCAAGCAGAAGTTTGCCACGTATCAAATCAGTTTCCTGGCGAGGTTGTTGAATATGAACAGTACTGACAACTAGCAGAATCTTCAACAATTTTGAATTTTATATTCGTGTGTTCAGTGATGCCACAAAAGTTTTCTAAGGAAGCTTGTAAAGGTTTCAAAGATCTCAACAAGATCTTTCAAATGAGGTCTAGAAGTCTTTTGGTTTTAATCAGTTCCGTTTTTAGGATGCCCCCTTCTTCAAATTCCATTCGGAATCGTAGGGTCGTTTCGAATGCGTATGTGGACTATACAAGGAGTTTCGGTGGCCGGGTGGCCAGCCGATGTACATGTCAGTGTTTTTCAGTTTTTCACCTCCCAGATAAATTTGGTACCAATCAACAAACCCCAGAGCGACGAAGGATTCGGTTGGCTCAGGCGAGTACCCCGTGAATCGCCGTTGACCATGTATGTGTGGAAGTGCGACACTTGCCACTACACCACATTCGCCCTATTACAGGGTAACATAGGTTCATCTTAGGTCCACATCCTCTTCCCCACTTAGGAACACATATTTTGTGAAATTTCGTCAAGCGAAACTAACCGGTATGGCATGCTCGAGATAGAGGTTGTACTTCTTCAATGTGTTCATTGGCAGATTTCTCAAGGCAATTCGAATCTCGCCAAGGAAATCCGAACCGATACGATCACGATCCAATACCGTAATCCGTCTGCAAAACTTACAGCTACTCAGAAATAGAAACTCAAAATTGCGTTGATTCAACAGTACAGCGTTTTCTTCTGTTTGTCAGCCTCTGTGATCCCATAGTAATGTAGTTCTTCAGGATTTAGGGTTTTCTCGATAGTCCCTGATGTTAGTTTTGTGGCTTTTGCATTGCCTTGTAGCAGATGTAATTTGACGTACGGATCCGAAAAGCCGTTACTGTCCATCGCTTTTAGTTTCTGTAATTGCAGAATATTAGGAGAAGCTACAGAGTCCTCTGCTAATCGAACACTTCTTGACGTAACGACCGTACCGTCAGGTAATACTTTTCCCATACCCATCTCCCGCACCCAGCTAATCTCCCCAGAGCCTTTTAATCTAGAATTAACTTCGTGTGATACGACGAACCTTTGCTCTGATCAAATGCACAGTGAGCTTCCTGATTGTACAGAACCGTGAATTGTATTGATCCAAGGGTACCTAAATGGAATGTAGTGTTGAAAATACGGTAGGGACGGGGTAGAAGTGAGAACAGTAGAAAGATAGTGAAAGTAGAAGTGGAAATCGTTTGTTGTTTGAGGGGGTTGTGCATTTCAGCATGCGGGTCGTTGCAAACTAATCGCAAAAATCAGAAATGATCAATCACATGCTATGTCACAACCACAACAATCATGCTTAGAGGCTTCCCTCTGCTTTCTACTACCGTTGACTTCAAAATTTTTCTTTTTTCTTTTGTAATCAAAATTTAAATCGAAGCCTACGGTAATGAGCTGGAAGGAAGCACGATAGTAACGGAGAAGAAGACATGCGTCGTCGAATTGCCGAACCAGGTCGCTGAGATGTGATGGATACAGCCGAGCTGACGTCGTCATCTGGAGAGTTGTGGGTGGTGGTGGCCGGTGGCGTACTCTCGTCGGCATACGAGTCCTCCGTGGTAGCAGGCGTCGTCGCCAAAGACGACACTGGTGG